TGGTAGGGTCAGTGACAGATTGGGGGTAGTTAAGTGTGATGCTCTCTTTGGTAGATTGAATTGTCAACATACTGATTGCTGGAGTGCTTTTAAGCAGACTTCTTATTCTTTTACTGAAATTGCACAGTAGAATCCTTCTCATGAATTCTGAGTATTTGTAAATGAGGATTGTGTGTCTTCTATCTTTTCCAGTCTCGTTCTCTTTTCAGATCCTTAGCCATCTTCTATTTCCAAGCTGTTCCATCTATTTCTTGGAAAGAAGAGTTGATAGTGCTTTGTGCTTGATAAATTCCTTTATCATTCGAGTTAACATGATTCGGTCTGTGGGTGACACGTACCTGAAAATGTGGAGGTTTCTAGTTCCTCTCTTTGATCTTGCCACGGACATTTACTTTTCTTTCCATTGCCAGTTTCTTCTGCTCTGGGGCTGTGTATCCTTTACAGCCAAACCAACCAGCCCTCTCTGGGATTCTCTTTTCTCTGATGACCTGGTGTCCCAGGCGCAGTGCTGAATGCTTTCACTGTTTTGTAGATAGTGTGCCATACCATTCTGTATTGGCTGCTTTTTTACAGGGGAGAGAAGGAAAGGCAGCATACAAAAGACGCTGAGATCACTGGAGACAAACTTTGGCCTTTTTTGTCCAAGATCATCTCATTTTCCAGACTAGTTTGTCAGAGGGAAAAACAGCATACGAAAAGTTGGATGACTGCATTAGGCAAACATGGGCCTGTTAAACAAGCGGTACCTATGACATTGCTACAGTGCTTCAGAGCTAGGAAGGGATCATCAAAAGGGAGTGAATAGGGAAATTGGCAGCTTATTTTTGGAAATTTCAAATCATAGTCTTTATATGTTCTTATGAAATTGATGTGAATAATCTGTCCCAACTGTGAATATAGAAAACTGAAAGGATTTTTGTTTGGACTGACTATTTTTTATAGTAGAAATATGAAGCATTAGTAAGATTTTGTGGTACAATACAGAAAATAGTGCTCTCAACATAATTCAACAACATTAAACAATTGCCTAGTATTTGCCTGACAGTATAGAGATTATAAAGATGAAAAACTTGGATTCTCTCCCTGTAAACTTGTAGAGAAGACAAGACATACAAAGTGGTCACAGAAAACATTAATTTATTTAACAATCATATTGAATAACTTCAAAGTTTCAGGCACTGTACTTGACCAGAAGTACAGAGAAGAAGGAGGCATACCAGTAGGAACTTAGTCTGCTTTGAGGTACAGATACATATATGAACTTGTGGTTATAAAAGATAAAAGCGGTATGGGAATAGTTAGGAGAGTGATCAGGGACATAATTTTGTAGGGAGTGATGCCTGAGTGGTCTTGAAATAGGAATAGCATAGGAAAGGGTATTTCAAGCAGAGGGGATTCGTATGTACAGCGATAGTGGAGATAGTGTAGAGGGTGCCTTGTTGAAGGAGTTACGGGTAGAGCAAGGATAGTATTAGCAAGAGACAAAAGGCCGGATTGCCAGACAGGGACCAGCTCATGAAAGGTCCAGTGTCTGTCAGCTGAGTTTGAACTTAACCCTGATGTTTCTGGGCAGGTTGGATTGTATTTTAGAACGATAGCTTTGGTGGTAGTTTGGAGAACTAATTGAATGGAGCAAGACTGTTACGTCTGTTATATTATTGCAGTAATGTTAATAGGCAAGAATGAGTGCCTGAACTAAGGCAGTGTCTTGGAGGGAATAGGCAAGACTTTAGAGCCACTAAGACAATTGTCAGAATGAAGAATGATTAAGTTTGAGGGTTTTTTGTTTTTTTTTTTTTTAAAGATTTGATTTTTAGAGAGAGGGTAAGGGAGGGAAAAAGAGGGAGAGACTCATCAATGTGTGCTTGCCTCTCTCACATTTATTGCTGGGAGCCTGGCCTGCAATGTAGGCATGTGCACTGACTGGGAAACAAACCAATGACCCTTTGGTTCGCAGGCCAGCACGCAATCCACTGAGCCACACCAGCCAGGGCTGATTAAGTGTGAGATTTAAGAGAGGAAGAATAGCCAGTGATGATCTTCCTCTTAAGTTTCTTTTGGGCAGTTGAATGTATGGTAGTCATTTATTGTAATTGGAAATTCAGGAAGAGTTGTAGGCTTTTTTATATGATTTTGGTTTTCAGGTTCAGGAGTTAAAGCTAACATAACAGGGAAGTTGGAAAGAAAGCATTTGGTTTTGGACACTTAATTTGAGGTACCCATGGGGCATCCAAAGTGGAAATATTCAAGTACTTGGATAAATGAGTGTGAAATTCAGAAAATTGTCAAGTTGGAGAGAATGATTAACAATTATTAGTACAGGTGGAGATATTGCTAGTTTTGTTCCAGACCACTGCAATAAAGTGACTTATAATCTTTTTGCTGGTGGAAGGTCTTACCTTCAATTTGTAAAAAACGCAACATCTGTGAAGTGCAATATAGTGAGGTATGCTGTATCTTAGAGATAGTTGGGATCATGGGTCACCCAGAGAGACAAAGAAAAAGCAGGGAACTGAAGACGTGGAATCCAGAGGAGCCACCAGTATTCAATGAAATGGCCAAGATGAAGAGAGAATGGCATCTTGGAGGTAAAAGGTGGAGACTTCAAGGAAGGAAGTCATCGAGGAAGAAGTGTTTGTTGTATTGGAGAGTTAAAGATGAGATTTGAAATTGTCCATTGGACTTAGCAGTAAGGAGTAGAACTAGTAACCTTGGTGAGAGCAATGTCCATTGGAATGGTGAGGGATAAGCCGGATGGATTACAGTGGGTTGAGAGTGGAAGTGGAGATAGCAAATGCTGAGTCCTTGTGTAAGAAGTTTGATGAAAAAGAGAACGACAATTAGAGAAGCCAGGAGGAGAGGTGAAGTATTTTTAAATTGAGACTATATACTGTAAAATATATGAATAAATTGCTAATAGGAGCATTAAAGGAAAATATTAATCTCTTTTGGAGGGTTGAGGAGTGCTGTGGTTCCTAGAAGAGTTTTTTAAATACTGGACTTCAGATGATGAGTGGGGTAGATTTCTGTGAGATGGTATCAGGAGAGGCTGAGTGAGGATATATAATCCTGGTAGAGGAAACAGACCACAAAGAGCTGAAGGTGGAAAAATGCTGATGGACATATTTGGGGAACACTAAATAGTTCAATTTAACAGAATCCTTGGGCTTGTAAAGAAAGTGGTAAGAGAAAAATGAGAGTTGAGCTTGGTAATGGAAGAACCCAATGCAGTCCTTTGGGATTAGATTCTAGGCCTTAAAATACTCAAAGCTATTAATACTTTTTGATCAGGGTAGTTATACAATAAGAGAAGCTGTGCTTTTAGAAAGAGTTCTGAAAGTGTGGACGATGGAGGGGAAAGAGCTCTTGTCCTGAGCAACCTCTATAGCTACCCTGTCTAGGAAATACAGGAGCAGAATCACCCTATTGTGCCGATGTATTGCTGCTGGGCTTGGGGGGGGGTGGTTTCTTTGTGCTAACACAGACAAAGCTTCTTTACTAACACTCCTCACAGTTAAAGAGAACTCAAGGCTTTGTTGCTTATTATTGCTCTTCACTGCATAGGATAAGCTGTCCTTGCCCTCCGTAGAAAACTTAAAAGGAAGAAGGAACTGTTTACTATGAATACAAATTCATAGAAATATGGTGGTGAGGCTGTGTTTTGGAGACAATCTTCTAGTTTTCACGTGAAAAACTGTTTCACTAAAGAAGGTTAATTTTGCCTGCTGCCATAATATGCAGTAGTCAGCAAATGTTGAAAGTTTTGCAGAATGAAAAGCAGGCAAAATTCATGCTAACAAAGTCAATTCTGTTATCTAAGCATTTCCCTAGACTCTAGCCTGTATCTTCATGTTAAAAAGTACTTCTAGTTTAATAGGTTCTGTTAAATTTTGAATGTTAAATAGCTTACTAGTTTTAAGTTACTGTCATGAGATATATAGCTCATGGCTCTGTGATTTAACTTGTAAAATACATCATCGGTTATATTCTGATCATATGTGGGTTAACAATTAGAAATGATTATGAATAATAAAGTATATATTTAAATAAGTGGATAATTTGATGGCCAAGTAAAAATTTCCAGGCTACCTCCTTTACTAAAAATGGCTTAGTTTTACTTCGTGTTGAAATGGTTTGAAATAATTTATTTTGTTAACTTCATTTTCTTTTCAGTATCCCTTCATTTGAAAGCATTTGATAAGCCTCTTTTCTTCTGTCTTCCAATTTTGTTTCCTTTCCTTTTCCTACTTAGCCTGTTCATACTTTTTTCTTATTCCAGTTCAATTCCTCTGATTTTTTTTCAGCCAAGCCTAATCTAAAATTGGATATATTGCTTCAGATTGTCTACAATAATAGATGATATAAAACTGGTTTGTTCTGACTCTGGGATACATCAGCCCAATATTTTGCAATTTGATTTTTCTTCCTAAATCCTTACTACATAGACTGCTGATGCTAATATGATTAATTTATATTTCTTAGTACAGTTTTGTAATTGGAGTAGTTAACTTCTCCAAAAAGGCTGTGAGAAGATAATTTTGTAGTAGTGTTTGGTTAAGAATTCATGGAGAATGAGTTTCTTTTGACTAATAGGACTTGACTGTTGGCTAATGGTTTCCAGGTTTTTCCTCTGCCCATCAGCAGCATGAGCACCACCTGGTAACTTGTTAGAAATGCAAATTATAGGCCAATCCCAGACCCACAAAATAAACTGGGAGGCTTAACAGATCTTTCAGGTGATTCTGATGGACAGTGAAATTTTATAACCGTTACTGTAGGATAGTATAATAAAAGAGACCTCTTTCTTGATTTCTAATGAACTGGTGTTTGGGCCAGTAATTGTCTTAGGACCTTTTTTGCTCAATTGACTGGCTGAGAAAATAAGTGCTCTTTGTATTCTCAGGTGCAGATTTTGTACTCAGAGCTAAAGGATACTAATAAGGGAGTAATGAAAATAGCATATAGGAACTTTTATCTTTAAAAGTACTTTTTTTTTTCAGGAGGCAAAACCTTCAACTGAGGACTTGGGTGATAAGAAGGAAGGAGAATACATTAAACTCAAAGTCATTGGACAGGTGAGTTTCATTATTTTTGACTCTTGAATATGTGAGAAATTCATGACGCAGGAAAAATGATTTAAGTAAGGCAGGTAGTTTGAAAATGGCGTTTTCATTTGCTATAAATGCATTTGTTGGAGGTAGAAGAGGTTGATTGTTTTTTAATTGTTCTTCCAGGCAGATTTAGGTCACATTAATTTCTCCGAATAAAACCTTTTTCTTAGTATGCTTCAGTGGCAAATACTATTGAGTGGTAAGGCTAGGGCCCACCTTAAACAAAAGGGCCTCTCAGCTCTATTTGGATCCACTTCTCTTTTCTTGCACCTCATTTCTCCAGCTGTTGGCCTGTATCTTATAGACTCTTTTTGAGATACTAAATGATAATTAAGGTTAGCTGAAAATTGGTTTTCTATTTTTCGTACTACATGGCTGCATACTTTCTGGACAGATCTCATATGTCTCTCTTGTAGCTTGACCACATGCAGTAATACTTGTGGGGGAGGTACTTTTTTGTTTTGAGTTGCTTTTGGGGAGTTTGTGATTTTAAATATAGAATGGACATAAAATTATGAAGGAATGCATTCTTTGGCATACATGCTCTTATACTGCTCATTTAAAAATTCCAAACAGATTGTGTTTATTACATTTCTCTTGAAATGGGTATAAAGCAATGATTAGAGTGTTTTAATAACACCTGTTATGAACACTAAAAAGTATTTTGATGGGAAAATACAGGTGACAAGTTTTATTTCTATTTGTGTAATTAAATAATTTGTTTCAAACAAAGCAAATAATTTACACAAAGAGGGATAATTGTTTTCTTGTATCTCCTTAGGATAGCAGTGAGATTCACTTCAAAGTGAAAATGACAACACATCTCAAGAAACTCAAAGAATCATACTGTCAAAGACAGGTTTGTATGTTATTGTATTAAATACAGTGCTTTCTTTGTCACTAATTTTTCTTTTATTTTTATGGCTTACTCTAGTATATAAGTTAAGGCAAGTACATTTTGGTGATCACTATGAAATTTCTCTGTTTGTAACCAAAAGTTTAGTCATATGTTAAATTTAAATACTAACATTATTATTTTTAAGTACTAAGTTTATTATTTTTATACATAATAGTGGAGATTACTGCTGATTGCATTCTATGCTCTTAATATCAAGGGATTTTTCTCTTTTAAAAAAAATCATATAGAAGTCTAATTTATTAATACCAGATTCTTGTAGATTCTGGCCTTCATGAACTAGTTTATTAGATCGATAACTAATTCCTTTAAACTGTCTAGATTCCAATTCAGGCTCTACCACTGTTTGAGCAAGAATAAGTTATGTACCTTGTTTTCCCCTTAGCAAAATGGGAACTTAGTAAAATGAGAGTATTACCAAGCCTACCCCATGAAGATGAAATAAGATGACCTACATAGAGCTCTTAATAGGATGCGTAAAAAATGCTTAATAAATGCTACTCATTATCATTATTAATAAAATACAGTCTTTAAATAAACATAATTGGAATTAATATACAGATACTCCTGGTCTTACGATGGGGTTGCGTCCCAATAAACTCATTGTAAGTTGAAATATCGTAAGTGACCTGCAGCTTGTTACTGCTGCCCAGCATCATGAGAGAGCATCGTAGTGCATATCACTAGCCTGAGAAAAGATCAAAATTCAAAATTTGAGGTACAGGTGACTCTCGAACAACATAGGGATTATTTTGTATGTTATATGTATTACATGCCATATTTTTACAACAAAGTAAGCTAGAGAAAAAAATATGAAAAAATCGTAAAGGAAATACATATGCAATACTGTACACATTTATTGAAAAAAATCTCTAAGTGGACTTGAGCAGCTCAAACCCATGTTCAAGGTTTAACTGTATAATTTCTGTTGCATATCTGTCACTTATGGATCATCGTAAAGTCAAAAAATCCTAAGTCGGGGACCATCTGGAAACAGTCAAGATCTATTTTAATAATTGAATTGTGTTACATGATACTAACTCAGGTATTATAGGTTTTTTAGATGATTTCTTTTTACAGTTTAAGTTTATAACTCACATAAAAAATCACTTCCTAGAAGAAAAAGAGATCACCTAGATATTAGGATATGTAAAACAGTAAACATTTCTGTCTCTTCTGTTTTTGATATTGTTAAACTTAGTGATATCTTATTAATTGGGGCTCACCTAGTTCACATTTATAATAATACTGATGAGCCTGTAAAACTGAGTGTTCACCAGGAGAAAAAAATAAATTTTAAGCAGTGCTGTGCTAGGTACTAAGATACATTGTGTTTAATCCTCACAAATATTCTAAAGAAAATTATATAGTCTTCTCACCAGGGAGTTGATTATTGAGGAAAAACAGAGCAAAATAAAGAAGTAAATCGCAAAGCTAAAGTTTATGGAAGGTGCTAGGTTTAGGGAGATAATTAAAAGATAACATCAACTTAGAATCATTTCCAGCTTATTTTTCTCCTTCAGGACATGTGCATTGATTTTAGAGAGAAGGGAAGGGATGAAGAGAGAGAGGGAGAGAACTGTTAATGTGAGAGAGAAACATTGATCAGTTGCCTCTCATACAAGCCCTGATGGGGACCAAACCTGAAACCTAGGCATATGCCCTAACCAGGAATTGAATCTGTCACTCTTTGGCTTACATGATGATGCTCCAGCCAACTGAGCCACGCTGGCAGGGCCAGCTTTCTTCTATATGCTGCAGAATACTTGGTCTTTAGAAAAGATGTTTATACATAGTTCACAGAGGCTAGATAATTTTTTTCTTTTACTTAATGATATGCAAGGAATAGGAAACTTAATTTGTTGGAGCTATGTAAATACCCAGTAGACATTGAAAACTACAAAAAGTAAATATTTATTGAGTAGTTTTTCCATTTTGTGTTTATTGATTGGTTTCTATAGAAACTTTTTTGACCCCAACACAGTATATTCCCTTTTTAAAAGATCCTATAATTAAATTAAAGAATATTCTGTCTTGTCAGTTATATTTATTTTATTTAATAAATGCCCTGGAAAGAATTCAATTATGAATTTTAATGAATTTAATTAAATGAAGGTTAAACATGCATGGTCTTGTATATTTATGTGTAATACATACTGAAAAATAGTTTTAATTTTTTTTTGGATGTTTTGGGATCACATTTAAGCAGTAAAAAATCTTATTATGTTAGGTACTGAGCAAAATTTTCATCATACTTTTGGACTAAATTAATGATTTGTACTTAGTGAAGTTATTTCTCTTTAAATGAGTCATCTCTTTTAGCTATTTTTTTGAATAAATGATTTAAAAATATTTTTTAATATCTTTTGTGATATTTATCATGCTCTCTGTGCCATCTCAGGTTTATTGTAGCTTATCTGGGAAGCTGTGGTACTTTCACCAAAATTCTGTGACTTAATCTTTTTAAAACCAGTTTTGTGTGTACAGTTGGAAGTGAGTGAGGGTGCTTATCCAGTTTCTGATTTTATTTTTTATGTTAGCTTATAGGTTTCAGAGGAAACAATAAAATAGTTGTCAAGAGCATCGGCTTAAAACAGATTTGGCCTTAAAATCTTGGCTCGCTGTGTGCCCTCTCCTTACTTTTGGTTCCCTAGCTGTAAAATGAAGATAAAGTGATGAACATTTATGATTATGTCTGTAAAGTGCTTGGAACAGGGAGGACCTTGCAAATAATTGGTACTTAATAAATTGTAATTATAATGATAGAATTAGCTAATTTTATGTTCTATGTATTCAGGTTTGAGCTTTCATGTTTCCTTTTTTGTGCATTAAAGTTCTTATTATCTTTTCTAAGATTTGTGTGTATATCTGTGTATCTATATAATTATATATATGTATATATATATTTTTTGCCTTTTTCAGGGGGTTCCAATGAATTCACTCAGGTTTCTCTTTGAAGGTCAGAGGATTGCTGATAATCACACTCCAAAAGAAGTGAGTAAAGTTTCTTGTTTGAGTCAGAAAAATTTTAAATTGCACATTGAATGATTTGGTTCACTGGTAGTAAATTGCCCTTTTCTTGAATATTCTCTGATTTAAGTGGTATATCACTTGTCAGAGAGAGAAATAATCTTTTGAGTTGAGCTTCCCATACATTGCTTTCAAAAGTGCCAGTGAAAGAGAGGTTGAAAGTGGAATGGGGTACTGAGATTGTCATAAGGCACATACTGTGTCTTTTTGAAGATGGACAGATGTTCCTCAAATTTGGCAGATTTTAGGTACACTTTCATGGTGATGGTGACGTTTATGGTTCGATTTTGACTTTTAACCCATTTTGAGAACTTCATATAGAAGCCTAGTGTCTATTAATATACTTGGCTCTGTCATCTTGATTTATGCTTTTTAATGCCTCTGTGTCTTCTTTTTTTTTTTGTATTATATGGACTGTTTTCTTTGTTTACATATTCCTTCAATCTGGGTTTGTTTGTCTGACGTTTCATGATTAGATTCAGTTTTGCATTTTTGGTAGAGTAGCACAGAGCGAAGCTGTGTACTTGTGAGTATATCACACCATGAGGTACGTAATGGCTATTTGTCTTGTTATGGGTGTAGTTACTTAAGGTGGTAACTGCCAGGTTTATCCATTGTAAAGGTATCATTTTTCTTTGTAATTAATAATTTGTGAGGAGATACTTTGAAACTGTGAGTACTTTTCTTGAGATATTGGCCAGTGAGGGCACCTTCAGGTTGGTGTCTGTGTTCTTTTTGACATGTCTCCATCTTTTTTTCCATCTTTTAAAAAAGTTTTTACTTTGAAATAATTTTCACTTACGGTAGAGTTGCAATAGTACAAAAAATTGTACTCTTTTTCTGCCTAGATTCACCTATTTTTAACATTTCGCTACCTTTGCTTATTACTACTTCCCTAACCCCCATGTATATATTTAGGTATATATATCATATGAACCACCTGGAGACTTGGAGTAGGTTGCATGTATGGCCATTTACTACTTAATATTTTAGTGTGTATTTCTAAAGAAAAAGTATATTTTAGGTAACCTCAGTACTGTTAATCAAATTTAGGACACTTAATATTAGAATACTTTTAAGCTACAATCTAATTTGGTCATTTGTCCCAGTTATATCCTTTATAATAAAATTTCTCTCCTGTCACAGGACCCAGTTCAGTATTAACATATTTTATTCGAGTACCTCTTTAATCATCTTTTATTTAGGACATTTCCTCAGCTATTCTTACCTTGTTTATGGCATTTACGTTCTTGAAGAATACAAATCAGTTATATTCCAGAAAGTCCTGGATTCAAGTTATGTATTGTATTTTTGGCTGGAATACTACATGAATGGTGATATGTCTGTCTCAGGGTGTAATGATAGGTGATGTTAATTTTTTCACTCAATTTAACTTTTCTTTTTTCTTTACTGTGTAATTGTTATATTTCTTTTCTTTGAGTAATTTGTGGGGACATATTTTTAATTGTCTTCTTTCTCATCAGACTTTCCCTCTGAGGTTTAGTATCCACCCACTGTCTTGAGCATTTCTTTAATTTTTGGCGCAGTAAGATGTTCCAACTCATCTTGTATTTTCACTGTTTTATCTTGAAATAATCTCTTAATACAGAATTGATACTAAATGCATTTTAGTGACAGCTTCCTTATTATCATTAAGAGATTATCTTTTCAGAAAAATAATGGGGCAGTAAGAAAGAACAGATATTTAGGGAGTGACTTCCTTGTCATCTTCATTCATCTCTACTAGTGTACATAGTCTGAGGACACGTGCTACCATCCTGGTTTCAAGGTTCTCTTGTAATGTTTGGAATTTTATTCATTGCAGTATTTACCAGGCTATATGTGTAATTAAAATGAAATTTTAATAGCATCTTTAATAATTTAATATTAATATATATACTACAACTAAGATAACCATAACACTAGTGCCAACTAATCATTTAAAAATTATAAATCCACAGAAGCCTATGTTTTATTTTTAGTTTTCTTAACATACTTTAATTCTTTTATAGTTTATAATTCTGTACAAAAACATCCCTTATAAAATACGAAACTTTCCTTATTCGAGGTTATTGACCTTAGACTTCTAAGTTTTTTTTTTTCATTTGTTTTTTGTGGTTCACTGTAGTTCAGTGTACACAATGCCAGTTTTTTATTTTAGTCTGCCTGTTGCTTCTCCATCCTGGCTGCGCACAAGAATCAACACATTCACAGTCCTTTGTCCTTACTAAGGGTTACTGTGTGGCAACACGCCCCTTTACATACACTTTTCTTTTTTTATATAAAGAATTCTCATAGTTAAAAATAAAAGTAATAAAAACCAACTGTTAAACTATATAAAATGGAAGCTGTACTCTGAATATATCTGCATTCCCATTTCTCAGAGGCATCTATTTTTTTTTAAAGATTTTATTTATTTTTAGAGAGGGGGAAGGGAGGGAAAAAAGAGAAACATCGGTTGGTCAGAGGCAATCATTATTAATATAGTAGTCCTCTTTAGCAGTAGTGCTTTCTGTGGTCTCAGCTGTCTGCAAGCAACCATGGTCCCGAAATAGTATATGGCAAATTCCGGAAATAAACAATTCATAGGTTGAAAATTGTGCACCATTCTGAGTAGTGGGATGACATCTTGCGCTGTCATAGGCTGTCCTGCTCCATCTTGCCTGGGATGTGAATCATCTCTTTGTCGAGTGTATTCATGCTTTGTAGACTGCCTATCTCTTAGTCCCTTAGTGGTTGTCTTGATTTTGAGATTGACTGTTCTGGTATTTTAGTGCTTGTGTTCAGGTAACCCTGTTTTATTCAATAATGGCCCCAAAGAGTGCAAGAATAGTGATACTGGCAATTCAGATATGCCAAAGAAGAAAAAACATAGTATATATGTGTATATATAGGAAAAAACCAATATATATAGGGTTCGGTGCTGTTTGTGGCTTCAGGCCTTCATTAGACAGTCTTGGAACATATGCTCATAGGTAAGTATAATGTCTGTAAGAAAAAATCCATAATATTTCAGTGCATATAAAACTTGTAAAGATAACTGCCTGTACACTTTGCCTAATGTTCTATAAAAAGGCATTTTAAAGGATCCCACCGTTTTTTTTTTCTGCGAGAATTAAGGAAGAATAGGCTGAAAAATAATCTAGCTTATGAAACTGGAGGAGTTAAATTAGAGTAGATTTATAGATAATTTTTTTGCATTGAGAACTGTCACTATCAAAAGAAAATAATACTTATAGCCAGGAGGAATTATAGATGACAAGCAAACCACTTAGAAATAAATCCTTAGGTAGCACTTTTCTAACTAAAATCACATATATTTCAAAGTGATCAGGTTTTTGAAAAAGAAAAAGATATCAGGTAGTTACATCTAGAAATAAAATGCTTTTTAGGAAATATGCCATTACACTATTATTTAAACTCTTAAATGCATGTTCCATTAGATTTAATACTCCTTTAAGGTCCTTTCCAATAAACATTTAAGTTTTATATAGCGAATAAGCTGGAAAGTGAAATTGACTCAGCAAAGTAATAAATGACTTTATTGACATAGAGTATGAAGGAAAGACACACCTCCATGTGTTTTAGATTAAAGGTACCAGGGCTCTTAATCTTGAACAGTGTAAATATGGATCTCCTTTGTATCTTTTTGTACCTTAAACAATGGCCACATAATTGCAGTCAATTAGAAAATAGTGCTTTTATATTCTCTTAAAATATTTTTATTTTTCTCTTACAGCTGGGAATGGAGGAAGAAGATGTGATTGAAGTTTATCAGGAACAAACGGGGGGTCATTCAACGGTTTAGATATTCTTTTTATTTTATTTTCTTTTCCCTCAGTCCTTTTTTATTTTTAAAAATAGTTCTTTTGTAATGTGGTGTTAAAGATTGAATTGAAAGCTGACCCCCCACCCCATGTCTTTAAAACATCTGGTAATTTGAATTCTAGTGCCCATTTATTATTGTTTTGTTTTCATTGTGCTGATTTTTGGTGATCAAACCTCAGCCCCCTTCATACTGCCTCTCTCCTTTTTAAATATTACATGTGTGCACAGGGAGGCCACTTTTTTCTGGACTGTGCATTTTCAGGCTTGTGATAAATGAGGTCGACCAATGCAAGTGTTCATAATGACATTTCTAATTGGCCCCGAAGTTCTAGCATGTGATTGCTTCACTCCTGGACTATGACTTTTAGTGGGAGATGGAAGTTTTTCAGAGAACTGAACTGTGGAAAATGACCTTTCCTTAACTTGAAGCTACTTTTAAAATCTGAAGGTCTGGACCAAAAGAAGAGGAATATCAGGTTGGAGTCAAGATGACAGATAAGGTGAGAGTAAAGACTAACTCCAAAGATGGCTTCACTGAAGAGAAAGCATTTTAAGAGTAAAGAAAAATCTTGTCAGAAGATCCCAGAAAAGTTCTAATTTTCATTAGCAGTTAATAAAGTATTCATGCAGAAGTGTGTACAACAGAACACTGCTTTTTTATTTTATTTGTACTTTTTGGCCTGGGATATGGGTTTTAAATGGACATTGTCTGTACCAGCTTCATTAAAATAAACAAAATATTTGTAAAAATCATACTAATGTTCTATTTTATTTTTAATTGTATAGAAAGAAAAAGAAAATGGCTAAAATAAGATTTTCTTGCATAATACTGGAAATTATTGTTTGTACGTAGTACAAATTTCTTTTCAGTACTGTACAGTGATGATGATCATGACTTTGAAGCACTGAAAGTTACTGAAGTGCCTTCTGAATTAAGGATTTAATTAAGGCCACAATACCTTCTTAAATACTCAGTGTTCTGTTTTTTAAAATACTTGATATTTCTGTATGGTGCATATATATGATACAGTTACCCAATCATGTTGAATAAATGGGCACGCTAAAAATTCTTAATTGATTTATATTGACAGTTTCAGTTTTTCCTTCAACAAAATGTTTCTCTGCTTGCTTAAGGTTTGGTATATTTTGTTTATATTTCCCTTTATTTCTTTATATCTTACATACTTAAATTGTATAAAATTAAAGTACCAAATAAGTTTCTATTAGAGGGCTTAACCTTTTAACTTTTTAATGAATCACAGAATTCAGTATATCTATGCATATACATAATCCAGGTTCATGTTATCCCAAATAGAATGTCATCTGAGCATTTGAGAAGAGCAAATAAAACCTATCTCTAATGCATTTTATAAATGTTATAAATCCAGGTCACCTCTTGAAAAATAATTGGCTTGCCTTATAAATTCTTGTATCTGATCCTATATGAAAAATTATTTGTATTATACATATATAGTCTAGGCAAATTAGAGCTTTTAGATCATTACCTGGCATTTATTACATTATATTAAACAGTAACTAGAAATCATTTGTAGAAAACCCCCATTGAATTGCATATTTCTATCAGGCCTGAGTAACACACCTGATAGACTGAGCAATCCAGAATGTGTGAATATGTGATTTGGTATCTTATTTTTGTTTGCATCTCTGAAGGCTGTCAGCATTTAGGTGGTAGAGCTTAGCTACTGGGGAAATAATTTTTTGTTTTCAGTTAATTGGATTCTTCCAAAATTAACTGAAAGTTAGCACTGCATTCTGCTATGGTTAACTTTCAAATGTGCTTATCTAGTGTAGTAGTGCTGGTAAAATAGGCCGTTCACATTAACAGTTTAATAGATTATCACATTTGGAAGGGACCTTGAATAACATTTAGTGTAGCCACTCTACATAGTGCTTGACTGCAACATCCTAAACTTGTAAAAGAAGGGAGAAAATAAAATCAGTAATGGTAATTTGCCCCACAGGGATGTTTTCCTTGGGTGTTCTTTCTTCTGTTCTTGGTTGAATTATTTGAAATGCACCTTTCTCATCTGATAAATTAATTGAAAGAAAGAAAGAATGAATGAATTTGTAAGTAGGGTCAACAAGTTTGAGAAAAAGTGTGACATTAAATTCACTATAACTGATAGCCAGTGTTTGGGTCATTTTATTTCTATTATACATTTTTTAAAAAAGAAAAATAAGCATCAAATCTAAGTTCAATAACAGTAATACAGAATCAAAATTAAACTTGATTTCTGGATTGTAGAAGCACAGTTCCTATAGAAGGTGAATACCTTATAAGCATTAGTGGGAAATTTGAGGGAATCATCTGTAAGTACCAAGTTTTTCAGCTGTGGACAGTGAAGTAGAGTGTAGGGCAAAGGAAATTTGTGGGAAAATTCAGTTTCAGATAATGCTTGCTTTAATATCCTTTTATAGATCTTTGCTGAGGCTCTTTCATCCCCTTTAATGATCATTCTATGATAAAACTAGGTATTAAATATATGTTAAAGACAAATTATCTAATCAAGACTCTTCCTTGACAGAGTCAGTGTGATTTTTAAAATGGGGCAATTATGTGAGTGATGAGTTCTTCAAATCACAGTTGGAAGGAAAACTTTAAGATTTGTTCATTTTCAGGGCACTAGGACGGTTTGCTGTCCAGGAGAATTTTTGTGATGATGAAAATATTCTCTACCTGTGCTGTCCAGAATGGTAGCTACTAGCCACATGTGGTTATTGAGCACTTGAATTGTGGCTAGTGTGACTGGAGAATTGAATGTTTAATTTACATTTAAGTAGCTACATATGGCTTCTTATTGGACAGTGTAGTTCTAGAAACTCTACTTTGGCTCATATTGCCAAATGAACATTTACCAAGTAATTACCTTGTTTTAAATAGATACTAGAGTTTAGATTCTTAGGATGAAATGGATGTAGTTTTGCTTTATAAAGACAGTATAATGATATTCTTAATGTGTATAAATTAGTTTCTCTTAGCTTACTCAGAATTATTTGCGTTGAAGAATATCCATTTACCTGCAACTCAGATGACAAAAATGATGAAAAAGAAATACCTGAACTACCCTCAGACTATGATAGCATCTTACTGAAACGAGGCACCAAAGCTTCTGGATTTATGCAGTGCCAGAGAACGTAAAGAATTTACGTGAGCGAAGAGTGTAAGTGGGTTGAGTCAAGTCTTAGTGGCAGTGAGCATTGGTGAATGGAGTGAACTTCCCAGAGCTAAGTTAGGTGTGGGAGGAGGTGAACAAGATGAGATGGAGTTTCATTATAGATGGAAGTTTCTCTTTTTCTGTCATCATCTCCCAACTTACTTTTTACTTTTCTTCTAGCCTTAAGGCCTGGGTGTTTGTAGGAACTGGAAGTAGGAGTAGACCCATGGTCTGGAGATGTTGTGTGCCCACTGCAGGCCACTGGCTTCCTTGTGGAGCTCTCGATGGAAATGAAGATGTTTCTTCAAAGCAGACTTCTGCCTAAGGAGACAGCCCCACCCCCAATCCCAATCCTGATTAAGCATCCTAGAAGTGGTCCTTACAGTTAGTAGAAGAACTTTGGATTTGAGTCATCAGTTAGAGTTGGGGCTCCCGATCTTGCATTTTAGTGTGCATCTTGCATCATACTGAGTTCATTTAGTTACTTAAATATGAGGTTTACAGGTCATGAGCTTCCTACTGGGGAAGTAAAAGGAGAGGCATAATTCACAGTTCTTAAACTTGCATTGCTCCCTTATTTTTTAAAAAGATTTTACTTATCTTTAGAGAGGGGCAGGGAGGGAGAAAAGGAGAGAAACTGTGTGAGAGAAACACCAGTTTGTTGCCTCTCACACGCCCCCAATGGGGACCTGGTCTGTGACCCAGGCATGTGCCCTGACTGGGAACTGAACTGGTAACCTTTCAGTTTGAATGCTGGTGCTCGGTCTCCCGAACCGCACAAGCCAGGGCAGGACTCCCTTATTTTAGAGGAAAAAACAGACCAGAGAAGTAAAAGTATTTGGGCCAGTGGCACATTGTGAAGAGGAAATACAGCCTTTGGCATTCTTTCTAATGCTTGGTGGAGTGAGGCTCTACCTCTTAGACGTCCCTTCGTTACTTGATTTTCTGCTCTCAGCTACTTGCTCTAAGCCTTAGAAAATTGCTCAGCTTCCCATCATGTGACTTGGCTGTTTTGTTTTTGTGAAACATTGGAACTCCAATAGCTTGCTTTTGGTTTCAATACTTACGAATCCAGCCCTATTGCTATGATACACAGAATACGTAACTTTGAAATTGAATCAAGATTTCACTGATGATCTGTCTTGCACTTCACGTAACAGAAGTCCAGGAGGGAAACAACTCAAGATTAGGTGGAAAACCTTGAAATACAGTTCTGACTGCCTTCTCTTTCCAGTCCCCTATAGAGTATTAGCTTAGATGCAACTTAAAGGGTCAATTAAAACCATATTACTCAAGAGATTGTATTATCAGAAAGATGCGAAGATCATTACTATTTTATGAGATTTAAAGGGGGGCAATACCATCGGTCCCTGATGACTGATTGCGTGCCTTTTCTCCTAACAAGGTTCTCATGAGATCTGGTTTTAGTCTACCTCTATGACCTCTGAAGTATTCTTTGTGTTTTGTTCACTTTGTTCCAGCCATGCTGACTTTCTTTTACTGTTCCGTTATTCCAGTCTCATTCCTTCCTTTGGATCTTTGCACTTAATGTTTACCTGCTGGAATATTTTTCTTCCAGATGTTTATGTTGTTAACTCATTGTCATTCACATTTCAACTTATATATCACCTCTTTTGAGAGGCCTTGCCCTGGCCAACCAATCTAAACTAACCCTTCTGCGCCCTGGCTGGTTAGCTTAGTTGGAGTACCGTCCTGATACGCCAGGGTTGAGGGTTTGATCCCTGATCAGGGAACGTACAAGAATCAACCAATGAATGCATGAATAAGTGGAACAATTAGATGTTTTCCTCTCTCTCCTCCCTCTGTCTGTAAAATAAATCACTAAATAAAAAATTTTAAAGATAATTAAACTAAGCCTGCAATCCTGTCACAGGTTTAAAAATTCTCTGTATAGCATTTATTGCCAGCTAAATTACAAATTTATAAAATTCATGCCACCCCTAGAATATAAATGACATGGTAGAAGAGAAATCTCTCTTGCTTACTCCTGAATTTCCAGGAAGTGTCCAGAACAGTGTTTGGTACCTCATAGGTACCCAGTAAATACTTATGAGAAAGGTGGTTCAGAATCAGAGGCTCTTACATCTATCTGGTCCTGGCACTACCCCTAACTCACTGGTTGTGGTCAAGACCCTTCTTGTCTTTGGGACTCGTTTTTCTTACCTGTAAACCAGAGTGCTGAAATAATCTCTGAATTTCCTTCCAGCTTCAATCCAAGTTCTATAAACCATGAACTTCTGTGACATTTGTAGCAAAAGCAACTCTGTTTTTTAGTTCTTCCAAATTATGCTCAGGGGAGTGGGAAAATTTCACCTGTCCTAAGGCAGTGCTAGTACTAGCACCAGGCAGTGAAGCCCTTGAACAATCCCCTTGTGGTAACTGTTGCCCAAATACCCAGTACCTGGCTAGTTCCTGGGTTTGTTTCATGGCTTTCTCCAGAGCCAGTCTGGCTGCTTCCTCCTCCTTTTGCCTTCTCTCCTCTGCTTCCTGCCGAGCCTTCTCTTCTGCCTCCTGTTTCCGCTGTTGGTACAATAGCTGTTCTTCTTCAGCCATTTCCATCAGGAGTCTGTGTTCTTCTGCTAACTTCATTTCCAGTTCCATCTGCCTTTGTGTCTCTGCCTCTGCAGAATAGAAAAGGGGGGCGTCTCATCCGGGGTCTCTATTGGAGAAAACAATTCTCTGATCCATCTCTCAAGTCTGTGGTTCCCAGAGATTCCCCATGAGAAATGCTGCCCTGCCAGCAGGCTGCCAGATCCTCTGTGGGGATTACCTTGTGGTTAACTGACTAAGAGTCCATTGCCAAAGTACCTACTGTGTGCAGTGTACTGTAATTAACACAAAACCTTGGGGGAGAATTTTCCAGAGTCTAATGTGCTTATGGGGTGGTATGCAGATGAGTTGAGGAGGGAGGTCTGATGAGGGTCTGGAGAAATTTGGTGCTTACTCAGCTGGACTATTCAGTCTAAAAAGTGTCATCTGCTGAAATTTCTTCTTCTTCCTCAAAAGTGAGGCTGTAGAGATTCCCCACGTCAGCACCTGAAAGGCTGCCCTGAAGCTATCCAGATGTTTGATTGTTTCCATCTGTTAGGGAAGGAAGCTAGGAGCGGGGCTCTCTTTCTATAATTTAGGCATATCCTCCTGAGCAACGTGGAAAGGGCAATGGGAGGGGCAGGGTCCCTGTTCAGGGGATTACTGAATTTCAAACAGGAGCCAAGGGTCGTTTCCACGAGTGAGTCTTATTTTGGTGAATCTCAGCTCACTATGGTCACATATATCAATTACCTTGCAAAAAATAGTGTATACATTTAGAGTGCTTCACACACTAAGGGCTAGAATAGGAATAACTCCTGGGAGATTCAAATGAACACCCACAGGGGAGAAAGATATTTCTATCCCAGATAGACAGGAAAGGCAGGGAGCTCCAGAATCCCCCTCACCAGCTTTCTCAGCTTCCTCCTGCTGCTTTTTTCTCTGCAGTTCTTGCAGTTTCCTCCAGAACTCCTCCTGTTGCTGCCTGGCTCTCTCCTGGGCTGCTTGCAACTGGAGCTGCTGCCTTCTCTCTTCCTCCTCCTGCCACCGCTGTTTTTCCTCTTGTCTCTGTTTCCTCAAGCTGAGAAAGCAAAATGGTTAGGGAAATGGCAGAAGAAACTGGGGTATCCTTGTGAGACAAGTCAACAGGCAGTGCCCCTGGTGGAGACTGCGGGCTACAGGCCATGCAGAGAATCCTGCTCCAGGAGACTTGGTTTTTCAAGGGAAACCCAATTGAATGGCGGAGGCAAGAACACAATGGGTTTGCAACTGTGGGTTGGCTAAAAAGTCTGTATTTTTTTTTCCTGTAAAATAAAAGACATTTTTCATTTTCACCGATAATTTGATTGATTTGTATGTTTTGACTATGTTGGCTGTCTCCCACATGGTATAATATTGGTTGTTCTCAATGTCTCGATTTGATCACTATCAATCTCAACTGGTCTACCTAACCATGGAGCATTGTCCAGCAAGAAATGTCCAGCATAAAACGTCACAGATCAGTCACAGCACCCCTATACACTGCACAAATCTTTTTTTGTGTGTTTCAGTTGTGTTTTTACCTTTCTTGAAGTAATAAAGCATAATATGCCAAAAGTGTTACATCTTTTCTTCCATTTTCAATATTAAAATGGCTATAGAAAAATTCACCAATTTTGATTTTAAAATGCACGCTGATATGACAGTTGTCACAATACAATCTAACAAAATTGTTTCGAATGAAATTAAAGATAACCAAGCACTACTATAGCCATCTTATGGAAAAAAAAAGGAACTTTTTGGCCAAACCAATAGATTAGTTGTTTCAACACACACCTCTCTGTTTGGGAATAAGGGCCTTAAGTTCCCAGAGCTTCCTTTTCCACTTTCATAAAATGGATTTTGAAACTCCCATCTCCCAAGCTTGTTATGATGATTAAATGAAATGAGTCAAGGCCTATGAAAGGGCCTAGTGTAAACCAGATAGTGTGGTAGGGGCTCAACAAATGTTTTCTGGACTGAAGCACAAAGCCCTGCCAGGAAGATCCCATGAAGAGCCCAATGGTTAAGACGCTGCATCTTTTCTTTGGTCCAGGTTATTCCTAGTAGAGCTGAGGATAGAGAAAAATGAAACATGCTGCTTTACTTCAGGGCAGGAGCCTCAAAACCAAACTTTGTCCCTGCCTTTTTCTTCCACTTCAAAACACGGCCATAGCCTCTGTCTGCTCTCCCGACCCACCGCATCTCCTCTGCGCGGCTTTGCTGCTCCAGCTCCAGCTCCTCCTTCATCTTCTCTGCTCTCTCCAGCTGCTCCTGCTGGAGCCGCCTCTGCTCTTCCTGCTCCTTTCTCTTCCTCTCCACCTCCAACCGTCTCTTCTCAGCCCTCTCTGCTCGCAGCCTGTCCCGGAAGGCTTTCTCCTGCTCCCTCTTGGCGAGGATGTCCTAAGAGACCAGTTTAGTGCAACAGACAGTATGGTGATCAGGGGTGAGCTTGTCTCAGCAGGGAGCCCCTCCTCCACCCCAGATGAGGTTGTCTCTAATCTGAGATGGACTTGTTGAGTGGC